GTCTCTGAAGACTTTGGGAATGAAAGAAAGAAACAGAGAGAGAGAGAGAGAGAGAAAGGAAGAAAGATGGAAGGAAGGAAGGAAGGAAGGAAGGAAGGAAGGAAGGAAGGAAGGAAGGAAGGAAGAAAGGAAGGAAGGAAGGAGAAAAAACTGGTGAAGCAACTCACTGGTGGGACGTAACTCTTTATGAATCTCACACTGCTTCATGCATTGCTAGCAAGGCACTGACTGCCCCCTTGGTTCTGAATTTTCTTTCCAAAAGACGCTTGTGTAGCAAAAACTCTTGGAAGACAGAGATAATGTCTCTCTGGGGCAGTGGACAGGCTTGCTTACTGCTCATTATAAAAGCACAGGCATCCATGGGTTTAGGGTTTCTCTCTTGTAACGAAACCACTATGTGTACAGATGTCATGGCTTTGCCCTCTGCAGACTAGAGCCAGGGAGCCAGAGAGCAAAGCCGATGATCCTGTTACTGCCATTCCTAGAGTAAGAGACTTTCCATTGCCTCCCACCCGAGTCTCGTGAATTACACCAGCACCCACGACCGTGTATGCGGCAAGGTTAGCTTGCAGGTTGGGTAAAACTTTGGACCCTTCACACTTGTTGGCACTCGTCAACCCCACCCTCTCGTCTTCCCTCTGCACATTCCTTGTCTTGGTTAATTTCACAACCACCCACATAAATCCAAAGCTGGAAGTTAGATGCCCTCTCGGACCCCTTTCCTTTCCTCACCCTACTCATCTGTATCCAACCCATCACCAAGTCTACCCTTAAAACACTCTAGAGGAAGGGGGCAGGGAATTTTGTGACAAGTTCATTTCCTTTCCTGATCCCATCGTATCGTCCAAATTCAGGCTCTGGCCATCTTTGAGGGGAGTATGACAATCCTTTTCTAACCATCTTTCTCAGCCAAGGGGACAGCTGTTTTGCCACATCCTCTTCCAAGTCCTATTTCTAGGGCTGGATGAAGCAGTATTTCCTACAGTCAGGAGACCTCTTCTTCCAACACCCTCCCTCCAACCTCACCGTACAAAGGCCAAGTGACACGGAGGTTTTTGTGACCCTAAGTCTGAACAGGCTTTTCCCCAGGGCTAAAGCTTTTAAGACAGACAGGATGAAATCTGAAATCCTTCACAAGAGAAAGCCCTTTTTCTGTGACTGCTTTGTGTCTAATGTATTTCTCCCCATGGCTTCTTTGCTCTGGTGTGTTTTCCAGCCGCAGCTTAACCTGTGGCTGTCAGGGCAGTGCAATCAAAGGTGGTGCTTAGCGCTAAGTCCTTCATGCAAAAGCTCCTTCATCCTTTCTTTGCAAGGAAGTACGGTTTAGAAACCATGGAGTCAAGCCTCGGAGCTTTCCACTTGTGTTTTTTTCTACTTTTCCTCAGATGGGAGAGCTTTTTCTCCACCTCTGGAGAAATGCCTTCACTATCCTGTGAGGGCAAGGCCTTTGTGCCTGCCCTGTAGCCGTGGCCACGACTGAAGCTCTGTAAATGTTTGCTGAATAAATCAAGGGATTACACCCTAAAAGCATGTCATCATGCCCGAGTCCTCCCCTTTCTCCTCACTTTGCAACCCCCCCCCCCGACTCCCTACCCCCACCAGATTCCCCTCCCTTCATCCACAGCTGGAGGTTTGGGCGGTGTTCTTTAGCGCTCACATCTAAAGGCATCATACGCATAAGTAAATACAGATGTGTTACTCATTTAGTACATAGCAGATTACACATTTAGTTATATACATAAGTAACTAAAATTAATACAGTTAATAATACTCTAGTACATATTTGAAAGTTGCTAAGAGACTAAATCTTGAATATTCTCATCATACAATACAGCCATTTTTTTTGTCACTGTGTAAAATGACAGGCGTTAGCCAGACACGGCAGCAACCCTTTCACAATGTGCACAAACACTGAGTCATTATGTGGGACCGTGGAAACGAACATGTTCTTCATCAGCTGTACCTCAGTCAAAAAGTGAATTTTAAAAATGACGGAATCAATGGGCTCAATTCTGATTTATTTTTGTGTCCCTCCAAACCTCATGCGATTACCTTCACCACGGTTTCCTGAAAGAAATTTGAACAGGTGCAAGCAACGTAATAGTTAAGTTACTGGGATCCACTTGTGGGGTGAGGGGGGCCTTCAATGTGCGGGGCAGTGTGGTGAGCACTTTGACAGGGTTTCTCACCTTGGGGACCCGCGAATATTGCCATCCTTAGGGTCTCTGAGCTGCAAGCTGGCGCTCCCTTCACGTATGAACGTAGGGAGCAAACCTCCGTCAGGCCCGCCTGTGGTCTCATCACCAGGAAGAATCACAGACGTCGTCCTACCGTGGAAGGCAGGGGAGATGCAGCTCCGGGGAAATGTCCTCACAGCCTGCAGCCCCCGCTGGACACTGAGGCCCCGGATCGGAACTCAGGGAGGAACTACGGCTGCCTTCCTGCGGAGGTTTTACTAAACACAAGAAGCAGCCGCATCTTAGCAAGAGCCAGGCCTGCAAGGCCGCGCTGCGATCGGCGCACAGAAACTGCTTACAAACTTGGGTGGTCTCCCCCTTCCCCCCTCCGTGAACTCACAGATAGAACCGATCTGTCCTCACAACCCCGCCAGCCGGCCTGCCCACGGGCCTGTCCCCGAGCTTAATAAAAACACCTTTCTGCCCCCAAGACGCCTCGCGCCTTCTTCCCTGGCCGTGGGCTCAGAGCCCGCGTCAGAGCCGTCCACACTCGCTCGGGGCGCGCTCTTCCCCTCACACCTCACTCTCCCAGCTACCCGGGGGTAAGACGGGCCTGGGTGGTTAACACGGAGAACAGGAACGTCTTAGCCTCGTTGTTCGACAACTTTGTGGTATGACTGACCTTCTGTTGTCCTATGTAATTTTTCACGCGTGTGGGACTATGACTCTGAGAAGGGCTCCCCGGGAGGCCGCAGCGCCCGCAGGCACCCACGGGGGCAGAAGCCCCGCTCGGATCCCCGGCGGGCGCCGACCTTCCCCTCCGCTGAGGGGCTGGAGCGCCGACCCGAGCCCGGGCCGGGTTGCGGGGCGTCCGAGGGGCAAACGCGGGAAAGGACCGTGAGGCCCGGCCTCCCCTCCCAGCCTCAGTCAGCACCGCAATGCCGGGGTCGCGAGACGCGGGGCCTCCCGCTGGCCTAGAGGGACCGGAAGTGCTGGTGGGCGGGACGGGGCGGGGGGGGGCTTCTGTGCTCTGGCTTCGCGATCCCCGTGCGGAGCAATGACGGTGGCAGAGCCGGGGTCAGAGGCGCGTCCGGGCCGCCCTCCCCGAGAAGCCCCGTCCCCCCCCCGCCCCCAGGGGCCCCAGGTGGCGGCGCCAGGGCGGGAAGCCCCCGGGCACGTGAGGACGGAAAAGTGGGAAGCCGGCCCCGCCCCCCGTGGCGAACATCCGGTCCCCTAGTTCACCCGCAGGAAGGCCTGGAACCCAGCCCCTCGGGACGGCAGCTCGCGCTTTCTCGCTCGCTCTCCCTCGCTGCCTGCTCTCGTGTCTCGAGATCGTACGTTTCCCTTTAATAAACTTTCTCGCTTGTGTGGCTGGTTGTGCTGCGCGTGTGTCCCTGAGTTTCCCGTGACACCAGCAACCTGCGGGGACCCCCGGGGTCGGGCTGCGCGGAGGCCCTAGGCCGGGGTCTCCCCCGTCCACCAGGAGGCACAGGGCTGGGCTCGGAAGCTACGTTCCCCCCTTTCCAGCTCTGCCAGGACCACTGGCTCACTCTGGAGGGTCAGACACCATGGGAAGCTCTGCACCGCTCAGTCTGTTTGGTATGAGACTCCCACGTTCTCAAAGTATTCGTGAGCCGGGGTGTTAGTTTAGGAATTCACAGATGGGAGTGTAAGTGCCGAGTGGACCCGAAAAGTGGGCAAGGAGGTTTCAGGGCTAATATATTATTTCCTGATTTCCTCTCCCCCATTTATATTTGTTTAAAAACCTAGCATCTTTGGGGCGCCTGGGTGGCTTAGTCGGTTAAGCGTCCGACTTTCGCTTAGGTAATGATCTCGCGGTTCATGGGTTCGAGCCCCGCGTCGGGCTCTGTGCTGACTGCCAGCTCAGAGCCTGGAGCCTATTTCGGAGTCTGTGTCTCCCTCTCTCTCTGACCCTCCCCTACTCATGCTGTCTCTCTCTCTCTCTCTCCTAGAAATAAAAAAAAAAAAAAAAAAAAAAACCTAGCATCTTTGTACAGGAAAAAAAAAAACAACAACCCACAACCCTTTCTAGCTTTATGCTGCTAGAGAGACACTGAAATCCTAAACTCCATATGACCACTTGATGAGGGAAACAAAGGCAAGACAAATGCAGCTTAAATTAAGTCTCCTTAGTGCAGCCGACTGCTAGACACCGAGGTGCAGAGCGTGACCTTGAGGCACACACGGCCGCCCTGCTGCCTTTATGTTTGTTTTATTAAAGACTGAAAGTAACCTTATCTTAACAGCAGCTCGCGCCTCAAGGTCCTGAAAGCCTCGCTTCCAAATTCCATAGAGACTTTCTTATCCTTCACCCCCGCTAACTTGAAAGTATGCAACCAGTCACTCGTCACAAGCCCAGTGCACATCTTCCGGCCCACGGGTCCTGTCCCCGTGCTGTAGAACATCACCTTTTTGCACCAAAAACATCTCAAGAATTCTTAGCCATCTGCTCATGAACCGCACCTTATAATCTTATCACTGGGGCACCCTTAGTGGGGCTTTGAGTTTTCTCATCTGGACTCCGAGCCCCAGAGCAAACTTGGTCACTCCTGTCCTCTGTCCTTTTACTTCAGGGGCTTTTCCAGGCCACTTTCACGTCACTTGCTCAGGCTGTGCTTCCCCTGCCCGCCGCTACGCCCTTCGGCCGGAAGTTAGGATCCTGGACGGAAGTTAGGACCTTGGCCGGAAGTTAGGACTCTGGCCGGAAGTTAGGACTCTGGCCGGAATTAGGACCCTGGCCGGAAGTTAGGACTCTGGCCGGAATTAGGACTCTGGCCGGAATTAGGACCCTGGCCGGAAGAGGGTAGCAAGGCCCAGAAAACTTGATGCCCTGTTGTTATTCCTATCCTTATACCAAGTTGTCCGTCTTGGGCTCGCGACAGCCACCTACGTCACCAGGACAGCTGCCACCCTTAAGGCTCCGTGTGAGGTTTCCCTCTCGGTGGTCTAACGGGATCTCTCCACGTCCCTGGTCTGGCCGCTTCCGGCCCGGAGGACCCGCCCAGAGCCGCCGGAAGCACGCCCTGGGTGCGCGAGCGCCCAGCTAGGGAAGCGGGCCGAAGGGCTGCATGTGTGGCAATGTCTCTCGGAGCGCGCTGCATTTCTAGCTTTACTAGTTTTCATCAGGGCTCCCTACTCACTGCTGAAATGACCATTCCTGCAGGAAAGCAAGCAATAGACCGAGGTACCCTATGTCCAACTGTGAGTGTCCCTAAAAATCATAACTCGGATTTTAAGGCCTCTTGTGAAATGTATTTGGCCAGTAAGCACGCTGATAAACCCCCTCCTGATGTACCGATGACGACTGTCTACGCAGGCCTCCTCTGTAAGGAGCCCCTCCCGGGTAGCCGGAAGCTTGTTTCATCCTCGCCCTGACAAAGCTGGTGCCTGTGCTGCTCTTCACCTTGTTCGTTGGTTCCGTCCTAAGGCCTCCATCAGAACGCGGTCCCCGATTGTTAAAACAGCAGTTACATCCCCCTGGAATTTAGTTTCCTTTCATTACTACCTTTCTTCGCTGGGAATTACAACTGTTTAGCGTGTAGATGACTTGCATGTGATTGTTGTCTAATGGTATCTTGGGCAATTTCCTTAATTTACTCAGAAACTGGATGGATTACACTTGAAATTTATACCACTGATCGTTCTGACAACGAGGGGCTTTCTAACCGCTGGCGTTGTAGATCTGGGTCTTAGTTCATATTTTACTACTCACTCTATGACCTCAAGGCAAATTATTTAACCTGTTTGTCTCAGTGTCACTAAATGTAAAGTAAAATGGGGATGATAATATTCAGCTCATAGAGTCATGGAAATAAAACTATGCATGGAAATCACTAGACACAGTGTTTGGCAAACAGTGAGCATTTAAGAACTCCCTTATTAAAAAAAAAAAAAAAAACCCTGCTAGAATTTATTTGGTTACGCATTTTTTTTATTAATGTTTTTTTTTTTAATTTATTTCTAGGAGAGAGAGAGAGACAGCGTGAGCAGGGGAGGGTCAGAGAGAGAGGGAGTCACAGACTGAAACAGGCTCCAGGCTCTGAGCTGGCAGTCAGCACAGAGCCTGATGCGGGGCTCGAACCCACAAACCGTGAGATCATGACCCAAGCGAAAGTCGAAAGTCGGACGCTTAACCGACTAAGCCACCCAGGCGCCCCTATTTGGTTATGCATTTAAATCATTCTTTCGATTCAGCAATTTATTGACCACCTACTATGTACCATATTCTCTTAACATCTTTGCAAATGTTGCCAGAAGGCTTTCCCCAACTCCTTCCTTGCTTGACCAACTGCTGTTTTCATTTTGCTGCTTCAGCGTCAAAACGACCGAGGAATTCCTCCCAGGACCCCTGCAGGCTCTGGCATCACGGTCAGGATCTTCTGCAGTATTAGCCCAACACGGAGCACAGTACTGGGGGGTGACTTTACTGCGCTTGACTTTGGACTCTGAGGACAGGCATGTTTTTCTTTGATCCTGATCTGTTGCTTGGCAAAGAGAAGGCACAGATCCATATTTGCTCATTTACCGAACTAAATGAGGTAGGGACAGTTGAGCAGGGAACAGACAGACAGCTTGATAGTTTCTTGCCATTCAGCGACAGCCACCGCATGCACCTTCCTCCAACCTGTCCGCCCCTTACAGCCTATTGCCTGCCCGCACGTCAGTCCCCACACACCCTCCACGACTTAGACTGTGCTCTCCGTTTGGAACTCTAACAGTATCCCATAACGTTCACAGACAAATTGCTGCTTGGAGAGTCTTCCCTTTCCTGGCCCCTGGCTGTCTCTGACCGCATCAGCTGTGACTCTTGTCCACCCTCTTTCCAATTCCTCTTCTGCCTCCTTGTTCTTCCTCAGCGAGCCAAACCGCCAAACACACTATCACCTCATGTCTGCATTTGCTATTCCCTCTGCCGGGATGCTTCTCCCTCACATGGACCTCTCTTGTTCATTTCATTAAGTGTTCTGCTCAAATGTCATCTCATCAGGGAGGACTTCCTTAACCACCCTATCTACGTGGCACCCACTTTGTTTACTAAGGCCGCTCGTCACATAAATTTGGGCATTTTCTACTCCTGTGCCGCCCCCCCCCCCCACCAGAACAGAAGCTTGGTGAAAGCGACTTTGTTTTGTTCGCTGCTGTGCGCCTAGCAACTTGGACAGTGCCCAGCGTCAGGAGAGAGTAAAAAAGGGAATAAAACTGTGTAGAACCAAAACTGTTTGCATAGACACGATATATGGTTTACTTCCATAGAAAACCCCAAATAATACACAGACTTATTACACGAATGAGAGTTTAGTAAGGTAGCTGGATAAAAAAACAACTAGCTAAAAACAGAAAATGCAGGAACTAAGAATATACCATATAAATGGTATCAAAAAGCATAAATTCCCTAGGAAATATTAACAAAAGGCATTTATGGAGAAAATTATGAAACTTTATTAAAAGACACTTAAAAAGGCTAAATAAATGGAGCTACATCACGTTCATGGGAAGATTCAACATTGTAATTAGTCTATAAATTCAATACAAATCTAGTAAAAATTCCAAGATTTTTTTTTTGTTTTAGAACCTGTCAATCTAATGTAAAGGTTGTACGGAGGAGCAAATGGCTGAGAATGGCCATGATGCTCCTGAAGAAGGAAAGTTTGGTGGAGATAATTTTGGGGGAAGGGGGGATTTGTCCTGAGATCCAAGACCTTGTTCTAAAAGTCATAGCGCTCAGGGCTGTAGGGCGCTGCTGCAGGGCTGGGCCAACTGACCAGGGGGTCACAGGAGAGTCGTCAACAGACCCGCCTGTCCACAATGACCCAGTTACCAAAGAGCTGGTTTTCCAGACCCCTGGGAAAGCATGAACTATTCCATAGGTGGTGGGGAGACAACCACTACTTACCCGCCTAGAGCAAATACTATGCTGGACTTCTGTCTCCCACCTTTCACCCCAATCAGTGCAGGGAAGACTAAAGACAAATGTGCCAAGAACTCCATGGCTACGCCGCAGTAGAGCGGCTCTCTAGGGCCGTGGGGAGGAAACGATCCCCTCCCACTGGGCTAATATGTCCAGCTTTTATAAGGTACTTTTCAAAGCCAGTCACTTCCAGGAGGACATGGTTGACAATCCGCAAGGCGTGACAATGTTCAAACTCCCCCACAAGTCAGCCGGCTTCTGCTGCTGTTTTGAGAAGGTGAAGCTCTCAGAAGGGGTGGATATTTCACACGAGGCACGTGAGGTCGGTTCACAGGTCACGCCGACGGGGCGGGAAGGAATTAAAACCTCCAAGATGACCACTGGGGTCACCTGGCACCTACGACCGGGAATCCTGGCTCTTTCGGGCAAGGCCATCAGGAAGTCGCGGCCAGCAAGCCTGGTGCTATCACCGGCGGGACCTGGGGTGCTGAGGCCGCGTCATTACTGTCCCGGGAAGTCCCCACGTGCTGCTGGCTTCGGGGTAGCCACGAGGTGCTGCTGCTCCGTGCTGGAAGGTGTCTAAGCCACGGTGGTGACAGGGGTGAGTGTCGGACATCTCTCCTGGGAACCGAGAATAATCTTCAACAGTGAGGACAGGAGATGCCGTCTCCCTGCCATTTCAACCCGGCTTCGGAGACCTTCTGTCAGTCAGTGGGGTCTGCGCTTTCCACGAGGGACGACGTCCATGTGTCTTCCACGTGAACCACAGAAGTTTGAAACAGAACTGCAAATTCTACATTTTTATAAAAGTTGACTGAAGAAAAATAGTATTTGGAAGGGCAGAGTCCCCAGAAGAACGGAGCTCTGAGAAAACCACATTTCACTTGGCGTCGCCGCTGCCTTCTGCTGTCTGTGGCTGGGCCGGGGAGGCGGCCGGGTCCTCGGCGGCCCTGGTCCCCGCCGCGCCGCCCTCTGCCCTCCCCTTCCTCCCCTTGGGCAGCTTCTCTCCCTTCTTGGTGGCGGCCTTGGCAGGCCTGGCTTCCGGCTTTGGGGGGGCGGGCCTGGCAGACAGCCGCGCCGACCTCCTCTGCGGCTCCCCCTTCGCCTTGCCTTTGTCACCCTTAGCGTCTCCCTTTGCCTTTCTCTTGGGCATGGTGGCAGGTGGCTTTGCCAGGCCAGCGGGGGCGGTGCCTTCTGTCTTCCTCACACGGCTCCTGGGAAGATTTAACAAACACGAAACATGTAAACCAAAACGGGAAGCACAGACAAATGTAACCACATTAAAATTCAAGTTTGACGATAGTAAAATGAAGAACTTGTGCAAATCGAAGATAGTATGAAAAGTAAAAGGATAAGTTACAAGCGGGGCAAAGATATTCCTAACACATAACTGACAAGGGATTCGAATCCAGAAGATACAAACACTTCCTGAGGCGCCTGGGTGGTTCAGTCAGTTGAGCATCTGACTTTGGCTCAGGTCATGATCTTAAGGTTTGAGAGTTCAAGCCTGGTGTCGGGCTCTGTGCTGACAGCTCAGAGCCTGGAGCCTGCTTCGGATTCTGTGTCTCCCTCTCTCTCTGCCCCTCCCCTGCTCATGCTCTGTCTCTCTGTCTCAAAAATAAACATTAAAAAATTTAAAAAAATAATTCCTACAGATATATGAGAGAAGGACAAAATGAAAAATTTAAAACAATGAGCAAAAGTGTTAACAAGAACTTAGAAGCAGCAAGAACGGTCCATAAGCACAGACCAGTATGCCCAACCTCATTAATAACACGGGAAATACATTCTGACATTTCACAACCATCAGATTGGTGGAAACTAACCGGTCTGACAAAATCAAGCATTCAGCAGATGTGGAACAAGGAGACATCACACACTGCGGGGGCTTGTTGTTTATTTGTGTGTAAATTAGTGTATTAAATTTGAAAACATCCTGAAAAGCAATTTCACTTCCAGGTATTTACCTAGTGGGACTCTTGGAGATGCGCGTAGGAAATCCCTCTGAGAATGTTCACACCACCCTCCCGCCTTTCAATAGCAGAACAAGTCCCTTATTAGCATCTATTAGCATCTATGCAGAGGAATGCTAGTCGGCGGCAGAAACGAATAGATTAGGAGGAATCTTAAGAACATAATGTTGAGCAAAAACAACAGGTTGCAAAACAGGTACAGTATAGATCCACTGACAAGCACCGCAAGCACGCAGTACAACTGAAACAAGGGACAAGATAAAAATCAGGACAACAGTCACATCAGAGGGGCTTGGGAGAGATGGTGGGTGGGTGGAGAGGGCTCGAGGGTCCAGAGGAAGGGGCGCAGTCTTCCGTGGACTGGGGGTGGGGACAGGACGTGGCTGGGACAGGGACAGGCAGGACATGGGTGGTGTACTATTCTCTAGGTTCTACAGAGACATTTTTCTCATCTGCTCAAGAATTAATAGAAACCACTTTTGAATACGTGGGTAGCCCAAAGCCCCATTTCAGGAACACCCAGAACAGAAAGTGATTTGAGTTTGGGTAATTAGGACCCGGGGCTATGGCCGGCATTCACAAGCACTGCGTGAACTTTCTTAAAGCTTTAGGCCAAGACCAGCTACTCACATCTCTCATCTCTGCCCTACCCTGGAAACCATTTCCTGGGGAACTCTGTAAGGCTGTGCCCTGCCCCGCTCCACAGTGTTTTAAGAAAAGAGAAAGAAAAAGATCATCTTGTCCCTAAACTGCTCCAAAGTTCTGTCGTGTTGTTTTTGCTGGGCCTCACTATCTGGATACTTCGTGGGCAAACACGATCCTTGAGCAAACCTGGTTGCGATCTTTGTGTTCCTTGGCTAACAAAAGTAACCACCTATAAATGGTGCTAAAATATCAAATTAGCTATTTTTCTCCCCATGTTTTCACCATGACTAGAATTACTGGAAATTTTATTTCTCCCTTCCCGCTTGTGCGATGGAGGGAGAAATGTTAGTATAAAGAAGAAGCAAAGGGCCTGGAATCGGTCAGTATTTCCCTTGGGAGCTGGTACGGGCCTCTGGGAACAGAGCCCGACACTAAGGAGAGGAAGGTTGTGTTCTCGGCTGACCAGCCATGCGCTGAAAAGCTAATGTGAGATTAGTGGGGCCCCTGTCCCCCTGCTGTGCCCTTCCCCCGCCCCCGAATATTCCAGATGACTGCAGGCCTGAAGTCGCTGCCGCCACAGAAACACCGGGAAGGCCTGCCCTCCCCGGAGGCCACGCGTCCCTAGACATTCCCTGAATCCAGGCCTAATTTACCTCTTTCTACTTCCTCTCCCAAAGGTCCCACTAGAGAAATGCTTGAACAATTCTTAGAGAACAAAAGGTGTGCTATTTTTTAAATCCAAATTCTGACACAATAAAGACAATGATTTTTAAAGAAAATAACTGAGGACGCCAGAGAGGCCCCTCGGGCGTGGTGGGTGGTGTGGCCGGAAAGGGACAGGAAGGAAGCAGCGCTGCCAGGTCCTGTGTCACTGTCAGCAGGGCGCCCGGTCCCCATCCACAGGGCCCGCTTGCATGAGGCAAGTGATACTGTCACTCTAAACATCCTGCATCTTTTCTCAGAGGCCTTCTTGTTACCAGAGGATGGGAGAGGAAACCCAAGGGGGCGGCTCTGTCCCAGGACGCGCGGCCAGAGACGGGCGGCTCCACACCGGCCTCGGCCCGCGGCTCCCGAACCGCGCTGCTTGGCCCACGTCGCGGCCTGGGCGGCCTGCGTCTGGGGCCCGGGCCCAGCCGGCCTCACCTCAGGTCCCCTGCAGTCCAGGCCACGCAGGGGGCCGTGATCGCCACGTGTCAGGGGCCGAAAGCCGGCGGGGAACAATAAAGATCAACTCAAGGAAAGCGGGCCGCCGGCTGGCAGCCGTGAGTATGTGACTTCGGTCCTTCGCCCACACTCACCTTCAGGCTGCTTAGCAGGAGACCACGGGCCGCTGTCCAGGGCCCCAGCAGACGCAGGACACATACGCAAACAAGGAAGAAGGGCCAGTGGGATCAGGGGTCCTTTCGTTTCCATGAAGGCCGCAGAGGGCCGGGCAGGGCGGGGCTGTGGCCACACAGTGGTGGTAACTGGAAAGAGATCTCTGAGGTGGGGCATGGGGAGCGCGGGGGCTTTTCTAGGGCAATGGAACTACCCTGTATGTTACCATGACGGGGGACACGTGACATTATGCGTCTAGCAAACCTCAACCGTGTGCAAAGAAGGAGGCCTAGTGTGGACCGTGGGCTTCAGGTAAGGACGCGGACATCCCGGCTCATCGGCCAGAACACACGTACCGCACCGCTGCCAGTGGTTAATAAGAGAGAAAGTTTAATAATAGGCCAGACTGTACTTTCTGCTCAATTTGTCTGAAAACCTAAAGCTGTTCTTAAAAAAAAAAAAGTCTACTGATCTAAATGTTTTTTTTTATTTTTGAGAGAGAGAGAGAGAGAGAGAGAGAGAGAGACAGCGTGAGCAGGGGAGGGTCAGAGAGAGAGGGAGACACAGAATCTGAAACAGGCCCCAGGCTCTGAGCGGGGCTCAAACCCACGAACCATGAGATCATGACCTGAGCCGAAGTCAGACGCTTAACCAACTGAGCCACCCAGGTGCCCCATAAAGTCTACTCATCTAAAACAAAAAAAACAAAAAAGAAAACCCCCCATAGTTTAAGATTAAAAAAAAGAAGAAATAGTCTGTCAGGCAATAAAATACCGAATTCTCAGGATGACAAGCATTCCGTTGTGCGTGTGAGGCAAAAAAAAAATATTCCGAACTGGCAGATAAATCTACGTACTTTTGTAGCTTGGGGAATACAGTAATAGGACCTTCGATGCTATCTCCAGGGCAAATTATCAAGATTTTTAAAGTTCTAGGAATTTAACAACTCCCCTTTGTTACTACGGTTTTGTCCATGGTGCAAGGCTCTCTCCCCCGCAGCAGTCCCGGGAAGGGGTACACGGGCTTTCCTTAACACACTTTTGTTAGCTACGAACACGTGCATTTTCCCATTAGCAAAAAACCTAGAAAGTTTAAATTAACTGGCAGAAAGAGGTGAAAACACCTAATAGTCATATAATGAGCGAACCCTAGCTTTCATGTGCGGGAGAAGTGTGCAAACGCCGGCTCCGATGAGGAGATGCGGGTGAGCTAGAGTCCTCTGTGACGGGCACGGGGAATTCTCCAAACCGTGTCCATAAACTATGTACTACATCCAGCTCAGTCTCCAGAAGTGAGCTGCGTTTGCACACACGCCCCCGAATTCATAGGCAGAGGTCCTAACCCCCGGGACCTCACACTGTGACTGCAGCTGGGAGGCAGGGCCTTTAACAAGGTAGTTAAGGTAAAACAAGGCCATGGGTGGGGGTGCACCCAGCAGGGTTCATGTCCTTATAAGCGGGGGTCGGGACGCTGACCACACAGAGGGGTGACCGTGCGCAAGCTAAGGAGAGAGGCCTGGGAAGAAACCAAACTTGCCAACATCATGATGCTGGCCTTCCAGGCTTTAGAACTGGGAGGAGATACGCTTCTGTTGTTCACGGCCCTCGGCCTGCGGCATTTTGTCACGGTGGCCCCAGCGGTGGCCCCAGCGGCCGGACGCGGAGGTGACGTCCTCACTGACCCACCCTCCTGGCTTAGATTCCTTGCGAGGTTTCGCACAGCTCTCAGATTCCTTCTCCCACATGTGTTTCCTCTCTTCTCGTAAGCGTCTCCCGCATCCAAAGAGCACACCCCGCCCCGTTGCCAGCAAACAAACCGGGCGCCAGTCAGCGGCACTTGCTGAGCTGGATTTCTGGGGGCTGGTTCTAACTCCGGTTCTAGTCTCAGGGCCCCGAAGCCACAAGGCCACCTTCTTGTCTCTGCCTCTTACTCAGGGCAAGACGGTGCTCTGGGCTGGAGGGGAGGCTGCTAACGCCACGTCTGGGAGAGACAGTAACGGGTCTGACAAAGAACAGATGGTGCGCAAGGTGCCTCCAGCCACTAGACCAGCGCCCACCTGGCGGCAGCCACGGTCTAGGGCCCACTTGCTGCCCACATGCCAAAGGAAGTGGTCAGTCAGGGAGGGCAGCCCAGCCTCCACTGGGGGTTCAGTGGGGGACACTGGGGGCACAGGGGGAGCAGGTGAGACAGGGCAGAGTGTCTAGAAGGGCAGGGCTGCGGCCGCATCTTGCCAGGATGCCCCTGGTTGGAAGAGAAGCACAGAGCCACGGGCTTCTAAATGAAACTCACGCATCTGCAACAGACTGGCTTGGGGCCCCCTCGCGTCCCAATTCCGGTGCCCGGTGCTCCTGCCCACTGGCATCTCGGAAAGAAGGGGGAGGACAAATCCCCAACATCTCCCCGGCCCCTGAGACCCGGGCCTCCCTTCTGGGCACCACATGAACTCCCACGTATGTCTGAGTGTCTCTGAGTGTCGGGGAAGAGACTGTAAATGAAAATGTCTTAGATAGATTTCTATCCGGCACCTGCCAAACCTTATCATCTTGCTAGCAAGGGAATTAACAAGATGATAAAAGCATTTGTTTTTCAAAAAAAGTACGAATATGGAGGAGGGAGAAAGAAGGAAACCTCATTAGGTGAAGACTGCCCTTTCTTAGGCCATAAACACCTCACATTCGCATCAGTCATTTCAGGGACCCCAGCGCGCTGCGGCCTGAGGGTCTAGGCGCGGCTGACCCTGAAAACCGGCAGGGGTGCAGCGGTGGGAGTAAAAATACATCTAGGAAGGCAATCCTGAGGCCCCACGTGGAGTACCAACCCTCCTGTACCAGAAAGGCCTTTGATGGATCCAAATAAGATGCAAGCGGACCATGGATCAGAGGTCAAGCGGCCAAACACCAGGACTCAAGACCCGATCTGAGCAGGTGCGTCCGGTGACCCCAAGATTCAAGGCGACAGGCAGAACCCACCGCTGGTCCGTTTCTTAACTTTCTGCGGGCGGGGGCGCGGAAGGCCAAAGCGGAGGCAGACGCGGGCCTCCGGGGTCCCGGAGGGGGGGTGGCTTTCCCGCAGGTGAGGCCCGGGGGAGTCGGGGAGAGGGATGCCGAGGGTGGTGGGGGGCAGGCCAGCCCACCCGCCACGGCCCGGCCGGCGCAGTCCCTTCGGGCCCCCGGCCGCCCCCCACTTGGCCCGAGCGCCCAGGCGACGCGCCACCGGAATTCCGCCCCTTCCCAGAGACTCACGCCCGGGCCGGCGGACGCACCGTGATTCCGGAGGCGCGGCGGCGGGAGGGCCCCGGTGCACGACCGCCTCGGCGGCGCCCCCGAGTCCCGCGGCCGTGCGACAGGCGCGGGGCTCCCAGCCGCGGCCCGGGCGCGGGGGCCCTCGGCTGGGGCGGGGCGGGCGCGCCGGGCGGGCCCCGCCGGGGACAGGAAGGCGGCGGCGGCGGCGAGGAACCGCTTCCGGGGCCGCGGGCGGCCTCGCGTCCGCCCGCGAGCGGGGGAGAGCCGCGTCTCCGCTCGCGAGACGTCGGGCCGCCGCCCGGGGCCGCGGGACCCCGACCCAGCTGGGGCGGGGCCGCCTCAGCCCCACGGCCCCGCGGCAAGACGACAGCGGCGGGGAGCGTATTTATGAAGACGTGAGATTTTGTAGAAAAGAAATGAAACAAAACGTTAAGGGATTAGATTAGTTGCAAAATGGGGGAAAGAAAAGGAAGCGCTGTTTCCGCCCGGTTTCGAACCGGGGACCTTTCGCGTGTGAGGCGAACGTGATAACCACTACACTACGGAAACGTGGCGGCGGAGGGCTTCCTGAGAGGGTAGTTCGCCTGCAGAACACGCCCCCAGGCCCGCCGTCCCTGCCGACGGTCGTCGTTCGTGTGCGCGTGCGGCCGGGGCGCTCTTGCTCTCACCGCACAGACCCGCGACAAGCGCGGGCCCAACCCTCGCAGTACACACATGTAATCAAGTCCATGACATTTTATTCTGGAAATGACTAGATTGGGAGAGAAAAAAGAGGCTTCAACGTTCACGGACGACCCTCCGCTGTCACCCCTCCCTCGGCATGGGCCCGCCGGCGGCCGCGCACGGGTCGCGGGCAGCCTGGCGCCCCCGCGTGGCCGAGGTGCGGAGCTCGCTCTGCAGGGGCGTGGGGACCGCCGCTGCGGGAAACGCGCGCCTTGCGGCCCGGGACACCGTGCAGGCAAACCTCACTGTGTCGAGTTTTCGGGCTCCGTGGCGCGTCGGCGAGCTCTGCGGTCGGGGAGCAAAATGGCGCCGGCCGCCCCGAGCCAGCCAGGAGTCGAACCTGGAATCTTCTGATCCGTAGTCAGACGCGTTATCCATTGCGCCACTGGCCCGCACGGAGGCGCCTGTCGCCTCGGGTACCTTCGTGAGGACGCCGCGCCGGCGGGGCCCCGGCAGCCGCTGCTCGCCCAGGGGCGTCCGGGCTCCCCTCGCGGCGCCCTCTCCGCCCGCGTCACCTCGCCGTCCACGCGTTCGCTCCGCAACCGGTGTTACGGTCGGAGGCGCTGGAAGCGGAGCCCTGAAGAAAAGCGCTGTGATCCCTGTCCATCGACAAGATGGCAGCGAAGCGCTAAACAAGTAGAAAAATCATGATAAGCATTTGGAGGAAGAGAAAAAGACCGGGAAGACCAGGAAAGCCCAGCGGAGAAGGCGATTCACGAGAGAGAAAGGCGGGCATCAGGGAAGGGAGCCCGCGGCTCCGGGGAAATCTGCGCGGCAGGGCCTGGAGGCGGGAGCGCGCGCAGACGCCCGGCTTGCGAGGACCGTGGATGTGATCTGTTGGCCCCTGGAGGTCGTGGTGGGGTGGGGTGATCTAGCTTGCTCTCTGGTCTCTCCTTCGGTAGTTAAAAATATGTATTTCAATATTTACTAAGCAAGGCTCTGTGCCAAGCACCTGCTATGCCCGTGCGCCTACGGCTGGGCCTGCGACTCGGAATTTGACACCTTTTAAAAGGAGCGTCATCAGCTCGTGCACACGTGAACGCGCCTGCGTTTGCTTTCTTGGGAAGCAAACGAGCATCTCCCATATGTGCGCTTCACCCTCTTATGTTTCTGAGACGTAATCGTCATCTCCATGCCTGGGTGAGCATCGCAGATAAGTGGAGGGTCGTTAACGGAGTAAAACTGCCTGACATTGAGAACATATTCACTGAGTTTAGAAAACAGTGGTTTTCAGTTCACAAGGTTGCAACAGCCCTAAAGAATAACATATGTGCTCCTGCTCTTTCTGCATAATGTTAAAGTAGACCTAGTTAGGAATTCCCCCCCCACCCCCCCCGACTGTGGAACAGGGGACCCCTGGGCAGGTTTTGTACTTGTATGTCTAGGGCACTGGGTGGCTATGGACTGCCTCACAGAATGATACTTTCAGCTG